CTCAGAGCCCTTATGTGGCCCCACCTCCCTCTGGGGAAAGGACGTGGCCCATAATCTGCCCCCACCACTGGGCCTCCTCTGCTCTGACCACATCAAGCACGTCCCCACCTGGGGACAGTTGCACTGAATCTTCCCACTCCTGGGTGTCCACATGGGTCCCTCGCCCCTCCCCCGCTCTGGTCCCTGCTCAAGGGTCACCTTCCCAGCCAGGCCCTCCCTGACCTTTTCACTGAAACTTGCAGCCTCTCCTGGCCCTCAGCACTCTCTTGATCCTTGCTTTGTGTATGTTCTCAGCATTTACCGTCTGACTCAACTAGATATTTTTCTGATTCAGCTCATTTATCAACTGTCTCCATGTGAGCTCTGTCCACAAGTGCTGGGATGCTTCTGGCCATTCTGACCGCCACTGGGAGCCCCAGCCCCAGTCTGGCAGAGAGCAGCCCTCAGTAGCTATGGACAGTAGGCGGGTGTGTGAGTGTGATGGGGTCCTTTGGGGTGTTTGCCAAGGAGTGGGCTCGGGCACATTGTCGGGCCCAAAGCTCAGGATGGCATCTGGGGTCAAGATCCCTGGGGACTCCTGGAGAAACTAGGCTCAGGGCAGCGGGGCTGGGAGAGAGATTTGGACTGGGGAAGGCAGGGGCTGTACAGATGGGCACCTGAGAGCTGAGCAGAGGTGTGGAGGTGGGACAGGTGTGGGGGGTGGAGGGGGGCAGTGAGGATTCTGCTGGGGGCCAGTCTCCCCTCCTTTGTCAGAGCCCAGCTCCAGGAGACAGAGTAAACTGAGGTGGGAAGGGGCTTCCCTGAGCTAGTAGGTAAAAGTCTTGGCAGGGGCGCCTGGGTGGCTCCAGGGGTTAAGCCTCTGCCTTCCGCTCTGGTCATGATCTCAGGATCCTGGGACGGAGCCCCCGCATGAGAATCCCTGCTCAGCAGGGAGCCTACTTCTCCCTCTCCCTCCTGCTTGTGTGCTCTCTTGCTATCTTGTTATCTTGCTTTTTCTCTTAAATAAATAAAATCTTTAAAAAATAAATAAAAAGTCTTGATAGAAAGGGGGGTGGGCACCGGTGGTGGCAGCCCTGAGTGCCAGCTGGGGACAGTGGCCTGCCTTCATGGTCCCCTTCCTGATTGAGGGTTTCATTTTGGAGACTGATCTTGGCACATCCCCTGCTCTTTTCTCGGGCCCCTGGGTTCCCCTTCATCAGCTCCCTGAAACTGCAGGGGAGCAAGCTTGTTTTAGAGGGGTGGGGGGAGGAGGGGAGGAGACGGAAGGTAAGGAGTTTTTGCACACACGTGCACGCACACACACATTCCCCGGATGACTTTTGCTATAGGTGCATCTCGCTCTTCCACCAGAGTGGATTTCTGTGGTGGGGAGAGTCTGGCGTGGGGTGGGTGGGTATCATTTTCTTTCCATGAACGCTCAGGAGGATGGAACAAGCGAATGCAGGGATGTTTAGAAACTTGGCAGCTTTGGCTAGGACAGGCTGGAAACTGTCCTGTCCCCCATGTCGAATAATTCAAAAGCCTTTTTCTTCATTGCAGTGAACGTTTGAGAGTAGGGTGCGGAATGTGCCTGCATTCGTGGGATCAGACATGGGGCTTCAGAGGCATCTGTGGCCTGGCTGGTGGCTGCACGCCGTTCTCCCCCCACCCCCCCATTCCCTCTGTCTGAGGTTGCTGTTTCACCCTCTCCTGGAGTTTCCCCAAGGACCGCCTGGGCAGAACCGGAGGTGTCTGAGCAGGGGTGTAGTGTAGTGGGTACAGATGAGTGCGTTCATTCAGCGGCGGTTCCTCAAGTGCCTGGTATGGGCTGGGCCACGTTGTAGACATTGGGGTATGGCAAGGAGCAAGACGGATGACAGGTGCAAAGGGAAAGGGGGACAGGACTGGAGCCAGGGATATTTGAGGACAGACGTGGGTAGAGGGAAGGAGAGGGAGCCATGTACAGATCCGTGAGAATGAAGTTCCCGCGAGGGGGTGACCGCCAGTGCAAAGGCTCCTGAGGTGGGGACGTGTCTAGGGTTTGCAGAACAGCAAGGAGGCCCACGTGGCTGGGGCAGAACGAGCAAAGGGCAGAGGTGACAGGCCGATCATATGGGCCACAGGGCCACAGGGACAGGTTTTGGGGGCCAGCAGAAGGTTTAACAAGGTCGATGCTGTAGTGGATCCAACTGGCTTCCAGGCCCAGCTCTGCTTGGTAACCTGAGCAAGAGGTTTCACCTTCGTGGTCTTCAGTTTCCACATCTGCAAGATGGAAATGAGAAGAGCTGCTCCCCCCAGGTCACAGGGAGTCCGTGAGCTGAGGGTCTGCATCTGGGCAGGGTGGTGGGGTCCCTCGCGGTTGGAGGTAGTGATGTCAGTACTGGGGCTGAGCCTCGGAGAGGTACATTTGGTGGCGGGGATGGACGTGTGGCCATCTTTTCCCCTGCAGATTGTCTTGCTGAAGGGGAACAGGAACCGCCACTCTGGGCTGCCTCCCACTACCCTCGGGGGGCTGGGACAGGTTGGATAGGAGATGGGGACCCTCAACCCCAGGAGGGGTCAGGGCAGGACCAAAAGGGGAAGTGTGGGGGTGACTGGCTGGTTCAGTGGAGGGAACATGTGACTCTTGATCTCAGGGGTAGAGATTACTAAAGATAAATAAATAAATAAACTTGAAAGAAAGAAGGAAGGGCAGGGTGTGGGCTTGGGAGGGAGAGAGGAAGTCGCCCTGGAGACGAAGGGGACAGAAGCAGTGGTGTCCCCGCGGCCCTCAGGGCAAGCCAGGCAGGTAAGAGCGAGGGCTCTGGTGCCCGCCTGCTGGAGTTTGAATGCCGGGTGCCCTGGACAAGGGGCTTCCTCGCTCCGGGCCTCAGGCTGCTGGTCTGTGAATTGGGGTTGGTCAGTTGTGAGGACAGCCAACAGTGTGCTGCGCGCACGGCCCTCTGATCGTCGCTGCCTTTATTTCTGAGGACTGGCCTGGAACCACATTTGCACTCTGCTGCCAGGTGGTGGGCCCCGGGCGAGTGGGGTGTCCTCCCTGCACCTCGTTCCTCCTTGGCTATAATGTGGGGCTCACGGTGGCTGCGTCCTCGTGGGTCACGTGTGCAGGTGAGACGAGGGGCTCTGGGCGGGGTGCTTGGAAGAGGGGCCAGCACACGGTAGGTGCTCGATGGGTGACTATGGGCAAGTGCCTTGTGTTCTGTGACTCAGAACCCCAGGGAGCACGGTCTGGCATTATCCTAACAGAGGAGGAAACTGAGGCATGGGGGAGCCGAGCTGCTGGCCACAGGCTGCACGGTGAGCTCCCAAGGTGGCTTGGCTCCCAAGTACAGAAGGTGAGGTGGCCCGGGACACAGCAGCCAGACTCCTGGGTTCCAAGCTCACTGGGGAGCCCCTGCGCCCCCTCTTTGCCCACCTCCATGCTCCTGGTGCAGGCACCTAGCTTTGTGTCACAGCTGCCCCACCTTCCCCGCTGTGGGCCCCTGTAGAGTCAGGAGTGGGGGGACTTGGTGGGGGCACCACCGGCCAAGCTGGAGGCGCCGCCCGTGGAGCTGGAGGCGCCGCCCGCGGAGCTGGAGGCTGCCCCAGGGTGGAGCTGGAGCCCGAGCACTATAAACACGGTCAGTTCCTCTGTTTGTCCCTCCCTCCATGCTGTGCCCAGAGGGAAGGGGGTGGTCCGGGCAAATATCCGGAGGTGTGTCCCTCCATCCCCTTCCCCTGCGGGGTCACATGCCCCGGAAGGCAGGATACACTGGGGCTGGCTGTGCGGTGTGTGGATGCTGCCTGGGTTTTATGGGGGCGAGGGCTCTAAGGAGGCTGTCCTGGGCCCCATGGCCTACCCCGACCCAGGTCTCGGTGCCGAGCTCCTCCCACCATAGGGTTGCCCCGCCCTCTCCTGGGCTTAGTGAGGGGTCACGTGGTTAATCCTACTCCCCGGAGTGACTTGGTGCCTTGGGCTGTGGGCTGCAGGGTGGAGGATGGGTAGGGCCGAGTGAGAGAGGCCAAGGTGAGGGCTGAGGCCAGGCGTGCCAGGTGGGGACCCCTCTGGGAACCCAGCAAGGAGGTGGAGGTGAAGCTGTGGGGTATCGGTGGGAGGATGGGGGAAGGTCTGGCTGTGGGGACAAGGCGAGGACCCGTTTGAGACAGGCTGATGGCTGAGGGCAGCAGAGAGGCTCGGGAGCCAGAACAGGGTGGATGGGGGGCCGGGGATGGAAGTTGAGGTGGGAGGGAAGGGCTGGAATGGGGGGAGACACTGAAAGGGCTCCTGGCTTGGTTGGGGGCAGAGGAGGGGCAGAGGCAGAGGCAAAGAGACCTCCATCCTGGCCAGGGCCGCCGTACCCCACATCCGGGCAGCTGGGGATCCCAGAGCAACAGGGAAGCTGGACCTGCTGGGGGAGCCCTGGCGGGACCTGGCTCTGGCCACCTGCTGCCCAGGAGGCCCCAACCAGTTGAGACAGGTTGTCTGCTGGGTCCCCACCCCCTCCCAACTGGGCGCTGCTGCCGGACCGGTTCTCCTAGATGGCTACCCACTGATGGTCCTGCCTCTGGGCCAGGGCTGGCTGCGAGTTTTCCTGACCTCACACAGCTGCCCCAGTGGAAAGGCGGAATGGCACGGGGAGGGAGGAGAGCCGGGTCTGGAGGACAGCATCCCAGACGCCTGAGAGAGTCCTCAGGTCACAAGACTCACTGCATTTGGGGCCGACCCTATGTTGGGCACCGTGCCAGGCTTTGGGGAGCCAGCCTGAAGCCGGCAAAGAGCCCAGCCCGATGCCTTTCCCCTCATCCTCTGGGTCTTAGCTCACACAGCCTCTCTTGTGGGAAGCCTCCCCTGCCCCCCGACCCTACCATCCCTCAGGCTGGGTCTGGTCCTCCTTGACCCCAGCCTTGACCATCCTGGACCGTCGGAGGCGATCTTGGTCTGGGTCCCCACCGTATCACAAGCAGCCACCAGCACAGGGCTGGGCACAGAAAATCGAGGTGTTAGCGAATGAATACATGCATATTTTCTTCCCATCTTCCAGATGAGTAACTCGAGGTCCCAAGAGGAGCCGTCACCTGCCAGAGGGCACGTCTAGCACAGCCAGCATCAAACCAGGTCTGTGGGACTCCGGGGCCCGGGCGTGGGACAGGGGTGCAGGACCCGGGTTCCCCCTCCCCCAGACGCCGCTAGGAGCACTCCGGAGTTACCACGGTGGAGCAGGGCCTGAGCTCCGTGCCCTGCTCTGCTCCTGTTAACCCAGTCAGTCCTCAGAGCAGTCCTGTGAGGGGGGAGAGGTCACGTCACTTGCCCACGGTCCCATAGAGTGAGTGTCAGAGAGAGATTTGTGCTCTGGCCATTTGACTTCCCGTCCCCTCACCGCCCTGGTCTCCCTGGGGACACACAGCAGTGCCTCTCCCCCGAGGTCCCTTTGGTTTTCCAACTGGCTTTCGGTGAGCATTTATACAGTGCCTGGTACCAGCCGAGGTGCCACCTGGAGACCACAGAGCCTAAAGGCGGGGGTGGTTGCGTCTGCTAGTATGCGCTGCACCTTGGAACTTTCCCCACTGTGCCACCCTGGTGAGGAACTCCCTTCTCCGAGCCTCAGTCTCTTCGTCTGTAAAGTGGGAGTGTTAGGGTGAGGCTCCCAAGGGCCGTGCATAGGACAGGGACTAGAACAGTTGAGTTGAACAGTCGCTCGGTTACTGAGCATGGGCTACGGGCCAGGCACTGTACTGGGGGTGGGGTAGGACACGGGCACACTGGGCAGATGAGATCTGGCCTTTGGTGCTGAGAGTCTAAGGGTTGGGCGTGGGGTGTAGACATCCAACTGGTAAACTCAAGAATGAACAGTAGAATTTTCAGGAGTTAAACGTGCTGTGAAGCTTTGTGATGGAAAGCTAGTGGGACACCTCCTTCACTTGGGGCGGTCAGGAAAAGATTCACCAACCACTCTGAGACCTGAAGGAGTGGGAGGAGGGAGCCATGTGTGGATACTAAGGAAGAGTGTTCCATGAGGAGTCAGTGCAAAGGCACTGAGGTTTGAAAACCATTGTGAGCAAAGGGGGCATGAGAGCAGAGAGGTGACAGGTGCAGGTCATGTCGGAGGGGCCTCTGAGGGCTAAGCAGGGGAGCCTGTTCGCGGGTCCCTCAGGCCACCTGTGGGGGATGGGAGACCAAGGAAGAGACAAGGAGGGACAGGACTGGGGCAGGGCCCAAGGAGCCCAGAGAAATGGGCGGGTTCTGGTGAGCGGCCCCCTCCCACAGGCCTGCTGAGAGGAGCCCAAGTCTGCGCCCTCGCGGCGCTGAGAGCGTCAGCGCCATGTTCGGGAAGAAGAAGAAGAGGGTCGAGATCTCCGCGCCATCCAACTTTGAGCACCGCGTGCACACAGGCTTCGACCAGCACGAGCAGAAGTTCACGGGGCTGCCCCGCCAATGGCAGAGCCTGATTGAGGAGTCGGCTCGCCGGCCCAAGCCCCTTGTGGACCCTGCCTGCATCACCTCCATCCAGCCCGGGGCCCCCAAGGTATGCCAGTGCCCACTGTGGCCTCTCCTGCCCCATACCAACCCCACACGGCGCCCCCAGGCCTTAAACCCACGCTTGACCCTGGGGCCAACACCTCCGTGTTGACCCCCTCCTACTGACAGCCAGACAGACACCCCAACCCTCTACCCTAATCTTTGCCCCAGTCCTGACCTTTCACCCCTCCACCCACTGATCCCTCCCCATGCCTCTCAACACTGACTCCCACCTTGATCCCAGTAGCAGCCCCCCACGCCAGCCTCTGAGTTGTCCTTCTCTCCCAGGGCTCCGTGGCCCCATCCCAAGTACCAGAAACTTGTCCTTGGGCAAGGGACAGATCCCCATGGTAGGGCCGAGCTGGGGGCACCCAGAGAGCTGCTGACTCGGCCTCCCCTGCCCCCGTCCCCCAGTCTGGGCCAGCTTTGTGGAGGAGGGGGACACCTGAGCTGTGCCCTGAGAGCTGAGGGAGGAGTCCTGTGGCAAGGAGAGCCTTTTAGCAGAGGAAAGAGTCCACGGGAAGCCTTGGAGGCTTTTTGGTTTGGGGGGCGGTTTTCCGGCCATCTTGAGCAAAAGGGAGGAGTTGGGATTTGAACCACGGTCTGTTTCCACAGCCCAGGCTCTTAGACCCCCTTTGCCATCTGTGCAGTCCCGGCGCCCAGGCATGGCACCGTGAGGCCGGCTGGTGGCAGGGTGTGAACCTGCCCGGCCTGGGAAGCCAGCCTCCAAGGCCGGACTTCACCCCAGGGGCAGTGGGAGCCAGGAAGGGCCCAGGGCCAGGGGCACGCAGCCAGGGTTGTTCTGGGGCTGGAGATGGGTGTGCCGGTCAGCGGGCCCGCGGCGGGGGACAGGCCTTCGGCTGACTTATCATCTCCGGGGCCCAGCGCGAGGACACTCACCAGGATGGGCTCCATCCTGCGGCCCCGCTGAGGTCTCGGTGCCTCTGCTGCAGGCCTTTTGAATACTTTGAACTCTTTCCTGCTGCTTAAAGCAGTGGAGACTTCACATCCGAGGCTGTATTTCTGGCTTCTGCTGACTAATTGCAGGGGCTGAGGGGGTGGCAGCTGCCTCCGCAGGCCGGGGCGCTGGCTCCTCTGTCCCTGCCGGCCCCACCCCACCTGCCTCGCTTCCGTCCCCCAGCAGGCCCTGGGGCTCCTCCATGATGGCTGTGGCCTCCCTAGGCGACCCCCGAAAATCTAGCCCCTGCTTGGCCCGCCAGCCGTGAGTCCTGTTTGGGCCCATGCCTGCCAGGAAGGGCCACACAAGGGGCCATGGGGACTAGCAGAGTCTTGGGGCCCCTGTGGGTACGTGTTTGCTGCCCCTGGCTGGGAATCTCCCCTTGGCCAGGTCTTCCCAGGCCCTCCCGCAGCCTCCAGTCTTCTTGGCCTCTTATTCCAGCACTAGGGCCTGAGCAGGTGTCTGTCTACCTTGCTTCACAGGGTGCCCAGGCAAGGAGGCAGCCAGGCCCGCAGGAGGGGGGCGTGGGAGGGAGAGACAAGGGCCGGCCCCTGGGGTTCTGTGGGCCGGGGGGGGGTTTCATGCACTGTGGAGGCAGGCAGTCGTGGCTTGAGGATGTGTGGCAGCCCCGGGCCCCCATCGCCGCTAGCCGGTGAGTGAGAGCAGAGGGCCGGGGTTGCGTGTTCCGCTCTTCGCAGCATCCTCCCAGCCCGCCTCCCTCCCCCGCTGGCTCAGCCCCTGTTTCTTGAGCACACTGTGCACACATACCTGACGCCGTGCTAGGTGCTGAGATCAGCAAGAGCAGAACAACAGGCAAATACAGAAGTTGTCCTCGTGGACGTCACAGGAGGGGCAGGTGACGGTCAGCTGACAGGTGCATCAGGGCAGCTGGTTTCTAGGGCTGCAGAGAAAGGGAATAGGGGGTGTTAGGGGCTGGCATTTTAGACTCTGGGTGGTCAACGGAAGCTTCCCTCTGAGAAGCTGAGTTCGGGCAAAGGCCTGGAAGAGGAGAGGAGGGAAGGAGCTGAGGGCATACTTGGGGGAAGATGTTCTAGGAAGAGCAAACAGCCAGTGCAAAGGCCTGAGGTGGGCCTGTGCCTCGTATGTTTGAGGAGCAGTGAGGAAGCTTGTATGCCCTGAGCTGAATGGGAGATGGGGGTGTATTCCTGGAGGCCTTGACTCTATTTGAGAGAGGAGGCGGCCATGACCAGGATCAGGGTGCTGGGCTTGGCAGGCGAAGTTTGGGTGGATTCTGTGGGTGGATTCAGGGCACATGTTACATTCACCAGGCCACGTGGGAATTCCCATTTGCCACCACTGCTCCTGGACTTTGGGCCCAGTCCTTTCTGACTCTCCCTGTACTCTACCCTTGGCTTCCGGGGGACAAAGCATGGGTTTAGGGTTAACAGCCCTGGCGGGCAGCAAGGGAGGAAGTCCAGGCCGGGCCCTGGGCCCAGCATCCTGTAATTTGCAGCTCTCCAGGACTGATTATGGGGTGGCATGGGCTCTGCGCTCCTTCCCTCCCACCCACAAGGCAGAGACCTGCCCCCAGGCTGGAGAACGGGAGAGAGACGGGGGTGCTTCTTAGGGGGACTGGCCAGTCTAGGGGCAAGAGCCTGACCCGTGGGAGGTTACCCCTTCAGCTTTCTTCCTGCACCAGACCACTTGGGGGCGTGGGAGGGGCTGCAGGGGCCCCTCTGGTGCCACCCCCACCCACCCCGCCCCATCATCACCCCATGGCATTTCTTCATCCCGTCTCTGTCTTGTCTCTGTGTGTGTGTTGTGTTGTCCTGTCCTTATGTGTCGGATACACGTCCTGTGTCCTCCTCTTCCTTGCCCGGCCCCCATCCCGCCATTGCCCTGGACCCCAGACCATCGTGCGGGGCAGCAAAGGCGCCAAGGATGGGGCCCTCACGCTGCTACTCGACGAGTTTGAGAACATGTCGGTGACGCGCTCCAACTCCCTGCGGAGAGACAGCCCCCCGCCACCTGCCCGTGCCCGCCAGGAAAACGGGATGCCCGCAGAGCCAGCCAGAGCAGCCCCAGAGAAGGCGGGCAGCCAAGGCCGGGGTGCCGGTCGCAGCGAGGCGGGTGGCAGCAGTGGTGACAGGCGGCGGGTGGGGCCAGAGAAGAGGCCCAAGTCTTCCAGGGAGGGCTCAGGAGGACCCCAGGAGTCCTCCCGGGACAAACGCCCCCTCTCTGGGCCCGACGTCGGCACCCCGCAACCTGCCGGTCTGGCTGGCGGGGCCAAAGCGGCAGCTGGTCGGCCCTTTAACACGTACCCGAGGGCTGACACGGACCACCCGGCCCGGGGTGTCCAGGTAACCAGTCCCCCTGCCCCGGGACCTCCCACTGCCCCTTTGTCCAAAATGTCCCCTGTTCCCTGCCCACTAGCGCCAGCCTATGCCCAGCCCACTGTCCATCTCCATCCTGACTGCCATGTGTCTGTCCCACAGACAGGGCCCCTCTCCCACACAGGGAGCAGAGCTGGCCCCCTGCCCCTCCACTAACAGCTGCCTGTCTTTTCTATTGCAGGGGGAGCCTCATAGCCTGGCCCCCAACGGGCCATCGGCCGGGGGCCTGGCGGTCCCCCAGTCCTCCTCCTCCTCCCGGCCTCCCACCCGAGCCCGTGGACCCCCCAGCCCAGGAGTGCTGGGGCCCCATGCCTCTGAGCCCCAGCTGGCTCCTCCAGCCCGCCCTGTCGCTGCCCCTACCCCTGCTGGGCCCCCGGCCCCCGGGCCCCCCGGGCCCCGCTCGCCACAGCGGGAACCCCAGCGAGTGTCACACGAGCAGTTCCGGGCTGCCTTGCAGCTGGTAGTGGACCCTGGCGACCCTCGCTCCTACCTGGACAACTTCATCAAGATCGGCGAGGGCTCCACGGGCATCGTGTGCATCGCCACCGTGCGCAGCTCAGGCAGGCTGGTGGCGGTCAAGAAGATGGACCTGCGCAAGCAGCAGAGGCGCGAGCTCCTCTTCAATGAGGTGGGCCACGGGCCCATCCCAGTCCCTCCCAGCCCCTCCCGGCCCCTCCTGGCCCCAACCTGTGCCCTCCCGGCCCCGCCTTCCCCCTCCTCCTGCTGCCCTCTACCAGCTGGTCTGGAGGCCCATGCTGGTCCGGCTCCTGTAAGGGTGAGGATGGGAGAAGGCCATTCAGCGCCAGGGTCCCCAGGGCTACGTTTGAGCCTGTCTCCTCTCCTTACTCACACGTCCCCAGGCTGTCACCCCCCCCATTGCCCCATACCCACCCCTGCCTCCCTGGAGCCCCAACTCCAGAGCCCCTCAGCCCCGCCCTCGTGGGACTTCCAGGTCCTTCATACCCACCGAGTCCCAAACTGGCCCCCAGAGTCTCTCCGCCAGCCCTGCCCCTCCCCTGGTTCCGTCTCCCACCGTAGCCCCTTAGTTGCTGTGCAGGCCCATCCTCTCCCCCCGGCTCTGCCCTGGCGTCCCCTCTTGGGTAACCCCTTGGCGTTCCCCACACAGCAGCTAAAGGGCTCTTTTGGGCCTGCCGGCCTGCCCCTCTGCCCCCGTTACTGACCCTTGCAGCTCCCCTAGCCTACCTGTCAGTGTCCTCGGGACATGGGCCTGGCCTCTGGCAGGCGTTTGAGGTCTGGCTCCCATCTAGGTCCTTGGTTGTGTCCAGTCTCTGGCTGGGGTTCCCGGTGGCATCTGCCAGATTTTTACAAAGGCCAACTCCTGGCTCCTTCCCCAGAGGAATCTGGGCTGGCAGCAGCCCCTGGACTCCAATGCGGGAGTCCCGGGATGTCAGGTCTGGAGGTGGTCGAAACTGCCTCCTCCTGGTCTCTCAGCTGTCCCTGTAACCCCTCCCCCGGACCCTTAGTCTCCCCGCGCTGCAGCCGCACCGTGGGCTCTTCATCGGAACCCCGGTGAGTGTCCCGTTCCCATCTCACCCTCCCCCCCGCTCCGGGCTTTGCTGCCAGGGCTTTTCTTCCCTGAACCCATCCCCCCAGCCTGTTACTCTGCCCTTGGCTGGTATCTGCTTGTCCCGCGGACTCAGCCCCGTGCTTAGACATTCTCGTCTGCGCCCCTGTCCCTACACCGGCCCGGTCAGCAGGGCCATTCAGAGACCAATCAGCTCAGGACTGGTCAGAGAGCAGGATCAGAAATGGAGTATGGGGGCAGTGAACCCCCACAATGCAGGCATCAGGCCTCAAGCTGCCTTTGGGGTCTCCTGGCCTTGGCACAGGGGAGGGCAGTGACAAATGACAGTGACAAGGAGCGCGAGTGACAAGTGGGCTGGGCCACCCCCCAAGCCTGCCTCCCGCCTCCCCTCCTGCCTCAAGCCCAGGCAGGAGGGGAGGCGGGAGGCAGGCTTGGGGGGTGGCTGGGTTTGTGGCAGGGGCCGGCGGTGCTGACCCCGCCCGGTGCCCAGGTGGTGATCATGCGGGACTACCAGCACGAGAACGTGGTGGAGATGTACAACAGCTACCTGGTCGGGGACGAGCTCTGGGTGGTCATGGAGTTTCTGGAGGGCGGCGCCCTCACCGACATCGTCACTCACACCAGGTACTGCCAGACCCCAGGCTCCCTGGGGCCACTGTGTCCTCTTAGACCCCTCGGGATGGGGGTCATGTCTCTGGGCCAGGAGGGCGGCATTCCCCTCGGGCCTCCGGTCACTGACCCCCAGCCCACACAGGATGAACGAGGAGCAGATCGCCGCCGTGTGCCTGGCCGTGCTTCAGGCCCTGGCCGTGCTCCATGCACAGGGAGTTATCCACCGCGACATCAAGAGCGACTCCATCCTGCTGACCCACGACGGCAGGGTGAGGAGCGGGGCGGCTTGGGTTCCCTCTGCCTCTCCCTGGCTCCCCTCCATCCCTGACCCCCAGCTCGGCGGCTTGAGGAGCAAGAAGTTTGTTCACTCCTCAGGCCAACAGCCCCGAATCAGACCCAGTCAGCAGGGGGCTCCGTGCACGCAGTCACGGAGGGGCCCAGGCTGGAGGAGGCTGCGCCTTTGGCCCAGGGTGCCGGGAGCTATGGTTGAGCACTGGGCCCCGGGAGGCCAGGAGACAGCTGGGGTGCTGGCCGCGGCTCTTCCTCCACCAAGAAGCTGTTCCCAGCCGAGCATGTGGCCGTGGACCGTGGACCCCGCTCCTGTCTCCGCCTCTCCAGACTGAGGCTCAGACTCAGGCCCACGGATGAGCCCCCAGTGCCCAGAACCTGCATTTCTACTCCAAGAGTGGACGTGATTTTCAGTGGGAGGGAGTCCTTGACTGTCGCCAAGTTCTCTCTGGTGATTTGCCTGCCTTCCCCCAGGGAAGTGAAGCCATTGGGCAGATAGGGGGCGGGGTGGGCTCTCTTTCATGGGGAGTCTCAGTTGGAATCCCCGAACACCTGAAGCTCTCCACAGATGTGTTTGGGGGACATCTGTGAGCTTGAAGTTGTGTGCACGCCGTGTGCATACGTTTCATGGGGGTGAGAAGATCCGCACGTATCCTCAGGAATCGGAAGGGGGCCCGTGGCTCCCAAGCAGGTGGAAATGTGTGGTTCTGGGCATGTGGTGGTTAGCAGAGTAAGTCACAGCTGTCCTCCTCTCTGGGCCAGGGCTGCATTCAGGGACACCGGGGCCCAGGCAAGGGCTTTGGGAGCCAGCTGGGGTCTCAGCCCCCCTACGCAACATTTGGAACCTGTAGGACTCAGGCCACTTACCCCAAAGGCCCCAGGGCAGACCCTGTCAGGAAGGCACACGGTGTGGTCTCCCATGGGGAGGTGACACACCTAAGGGCCCCCTGCTGGGAGGAGGCAGAGGGACCCAGTGGTCTGGCTCTAACCTCTAGGCTGCCCCGTGGAGGCCCAGAACGTCCAAGGCCAGGGAACTGAGTAGGTAGACACCTCTGACCGCCCCCCACTGCCTGCACCCCGCTGCAGGTGAAGCTCTCGGACTTCGGGTTCTGCGCCCAAGTCAGCAAGGAGGTACCACGGAGGAAGTCCCTGGTTGGCACGCCCTACTGGATGGCCCCAGAGCTCATCTCTCGCCTTCCCTATGGGCCAGAGGTAAGCCGGCGGTGGCCCGGTTGCCGTGTTGTCAGCACAGGTTTACGCTGTGACCGTCTGGAGCCGCAGGAGTGCTGGGGGTGGAGTGGGGCTGGAGGTGGAGTGGGGCTCGGTGTGGGAGATGGGTCACTGGGGGTGGTCCTATGGGAGAGGAGGGAGGCATGCGTGTATGCACCCATCCCTGATGAACCCAGCCCGGTGCTGACAAAACCCGATCGGATTTAGCAAAACCTGAAAGCTCTGGGTCCCAAGAACTGTGACATAGGGGCGAGTGACAGGCTTCAGGCCCGGCATTCCTGTGCTCTGTCCCTCCCCAGTCCTGACTTGGTCCGGGTAGTCTTCACCCAGGCAGGTGCTCCCCTAGTCAGGGCAGAGCTGGCCTGGCAACTCTGGGACCCCATCCCCCTGCCTGTGAGTACCGGGGTGCTCCTGGCTATTGCCTGTAAAAGTCTTTGGGCTGGTTCTGACTGGCTCAGTCATGAGCCAATTACTGTGTCCCAACCATGCTGCTTAGGCAACTGGCCACGGGACCCTGAATGCGCCCTAGAGCGAGGGAGGGAGGGTGCTGGGTGGGCAGAATCCTTCTGAGGGCTCCCTGGGGGAGGAGCTTGTGGGTCTGGCAAGTTGGGTGTCAGGATGTTTGGGGCCCAAGGACTCCAGGAGCGAGGAGGCAAAGGCAGAACCAACCACCCCTCTGTGGCTTCTCCTACCACCGGCCCAACGAGCCCAGCTCAGCCCTCCTATCCCTTTCCCGCTGCAGGTAGACATCTGGTCTCTGGGGGTGATGGTGATCGAGATGGTGGATGGGGAGCCCCCCTACTTCAACGAGCCTCCCCTCAAAGCCATGAAGATGATTCGGGACAACTTGCCACCTCGACTGAAAAACTTGCACAAGGTGGGCCCCCGGTTGGGCAGATGGTGTAGGGGAGGGGACACTCCCTCTGTTTTGGGCTCCCCGCCCCCTCCCCTACAGGTTCCCTGAGCCCTTACCCGTCCCCCAGTGGTTGAGCCTCGGCTGGCTGGCATAGCCAGGTCTGGGAGAGGAGCCTTCCTGGTAGATGGCTCGCCTGGCAAGAGAGGGGTGCTTCTGGGGCCCAGCCACTGTCACCTCCTTGCAAACCTTGAAAATGGAGAAGAAATGAGCCCCTGGGGTCTTTGATGTGTTTCTTTCCTTGGGGCCAAGCTCTAGACACCTGGGCCCTCCTGGCCCCTACCCCCAGGCAGCGGATGTTGTCGGCCCATTTGACAGAGGCGGAAACTGGGGCCCAGTGGCAAGTGAGCAGCGGAGCTGGTGCTCAGACCCATCCCTGACTCTCTCCCCCACCTCCCCACAGGTGTCACCCTCCCTGAAGGGCTTCCTGGACCGCCTGCTGGTGCGTGACCCAGCCCAGCGGGCCACAGCGGCTGAGCTGCTCAAGCACCCGTTCCTGGCCAAAGCGGGCCCGCCCGCCAGCATCGTGCCCCTCATGCGCCAGAACCGCACCAGATGAGGCCCAGTGCCCTGTCCCTGAACCAAAGAGCCCCTTGGGTCACCCCTGTCCCACCACGGGCCAGTCGGGGGGAGGCCCCCACTCCTCCCCACCCAGGAGACACTCCATGTGGCACCGCCCTCCTTGTCGGCGGTCGGGGAGCGTGCAGGACCCTACTACTGAACTCCAGGTTTGATTTTGTGACTTTAAAAAAAAACAAAACAAAACACAGGGACTCGCGGGAGCAAGTGAGGGTTCCCAGCCTCCCCACCCTCCGGGATGGTCCCTCCCTGTGTCTTCCTATCTTCCAGGAAGGACAGACAGCCCCCCTATCACTGGAAATCATCTGCAGTGGGGGCTGCTGTGGTGGAGAGAACACTACGAGAGGCGTGCGCGTGTGTGTGTACGTGCGTGCGTGCACGTGTGTGTGTGCGCACGCATGTGTGCACATACACCCATGCAGATGGTCCAGCTGCTCTGTCCTCCAGCCTGTGAGTGGGTGTCTCTAAGGCCTTGCCTGACATACAGCGCAGCCTCCTGCCCCCCCCCCGAGCCATTGCGGGGGTCGATCATGAATGTCTGAAGAGTGGCCTTTTCCCTGAGTCCTGCACCCCCTCTCGGTGGCTTGCTGGGGAGACGGGGGTCAGGGCTTCCTGCCCATCCCCAGCCTCTGCAGATGACTACTGCACCTGGACAGCCTCCTCTTTTCTAGAAGTCTATTTATATTGTCATTTTATAACACTAGCCCCTGTCCCAACCTGGGGACAGATGGTCCCTGCCCCTTGGGGCGGCACCAGGGACAGAACCACTGCTTGAAGAATCAGGTTCCCAGCCCTTTGGTGCGGCCCCACTCTCCCCTCCCCTCCCTCAAGTTAGTTTTACAATTAAAATGTTTTCTTGTTTTGCGTGTGCGTGTAGTGGCCCCTCCCTGTCCGGGTCATCTTGGTGCGGGACTTGGGGGAGGGACTCAAGGACGGAGGGAGGGCAGGCTGGCGAACCCCAGGATTCCAGTCCATCTTAGGGCAAGGGTCATGTCTTGGGGGGTGGGGAGCCCCAGGTCGAAGCAGCCCGTAGTGCCCCCCCCGACGGGACCCAGACTCACCCCCTGGCCTGCAAACAGCCAGTCCCCCAGGGTCCGTGTGCTGCAGTGACCAGTTTGCCAAATCGGAGATTTGCTGGAATCTTGTTGTTTTTTTTTTTAAAGATTTTATTTATTTATTTGACAGACAGAGATCACAAGTAGGCAGAGAGGCAGGCAGAGAGAGAGAGAGGAGGAAGCAGGCTCCCTGCAGAGCAGAGAGCCCGATGTGGGGCTCGATCCCAGGACCCTGGGACCACGACCCGAGCCAAAGGCAGAGGCCCAACCCACTGAGCCACCCAGGCGCCCCGCTGGAATCTTGTCTTAAAGGTTGTTTGTCTTGAGCATAGTCGGTGGGTAGGAAGGATCCTTGATGAACTGATGTTAGTAAATGGGTCGTTCAGAGAATCGGTCAGTGGGCAGGTGGGCTTTTGAGGCCTCGACGGAGGCAGATGGATCTGGAACAGCCAGCCTTAGGGATACTCCACAGGCCAGATCCCTCCCTCCAAATCGAGGTCCCAGGAGGCTGAGCCTGGGTCTCCACAAGGGGAGAAAGGAATTGGCTGGCATCTTCAGGACGGTGCTGCTTCTGTGTTCTGGGCACTGAGCACCCCAGGCTGGTGTGAGCTTGGACTGTGTGCGTCTCCCCCAGAACCCAAGAGGTGGGGGGGCCCCCACCAGCAGCTCCCTGGGGACAAGTGCAGCGTGAGCAGCGAACCCCACCACCCACTGGCACCAGGGACCTCCGCCTGCTGTGTGGGTGGGAGACGTGCGGAGATGCTGGCTCGGGTACACTGTCTGCGCCCACTCCAGAGCACGCCTCTCCACGGGCCCTGGGTCCCCAAGGCTGGGGTGCCGTGTCTGTGCCTGGGGCCGGCCACCAACAGGCTCCGTCTAGATGGGGACTCAGAGGTCTAAACATCCTCAGGGAAGCAGCTGTTGCCATGTTGAATGTGTTGGGTGCCTGGGTGGAGTTGTTAAGCTCTGGGAAGAACTCTGCCAAAATGGTTATAAGGAGAAACAGAAAACAAGAAAAGACCAAAGTAACATCTCCCCCCCACACACACACGCACCAAAGAAAAAGCCCTGGGCTTGAATGCTTTTACAAATGAGTTCCACCAGACTTTGAAGGATCACGCAATTCCTACCTTGTACAAACTGTTCCAGAGAACAGGGAAAGGATAGCAGCCCAACTCATTTTCAGAGGCTGGTACGCCCGTGATTCCACAACCCAGGAAGAACAGGGTGGCACACAGCCATCCCCCTCCCAACCGGAGGGCCTCGTCTCCCTGGGCCCCTGGGGGCGCTCCAGGACGTTCCACTGCGGGTGAAGGATCTTTCCCCTCTCCCCCACCCCCCGAGGGGGGGGGCAGGAGGTCCCTTGCCAGGTCATTACCTGGTGGAGGAGCCAACATTCGGCTTCATGGGGACTCAACCATGATTGTCACCTTCCATCGCCGTCACTGCAGTTTAAATTAAGGATGGTTTTGGGTGGCCTCGAGAGAGCGCTCCCGGAGGCCCCATACCCCCACTGATCCCAGCCCGCGAGGGAGTCCGCGTCAGGCGTCGGGGGGACAAGAGCGCACTCAGAAGGGCAAGTGTGGCGGAGCAAGAACAGACACCTGCCCCAGCGGCGATATGGCCCTGAGGACCGGCTTTGTCCAGATGGTACTGACCGCACGGCCTCCCACACAAAGTAGTGAGTGTTACCTCAGCGGCAGCAGGGGGCGCTGTGCTCCAAGCTGCAAAGGCCCAGGAGGTATTAACCTGTAGATCAGAGGTGTGTTTACAGAGATTCAAAATGAGTAAGTGAAACAAGTCAGACCAGTGGTTCTCCCAAGCGTGGTTCCCGGACCAGCAGCAGCCCTGGGAACTTTATGGAAATGCAGATTCCCAGGCCGCACTCCAGGCTGAATCATGGGTCCTGAGGACGAGAAGAGACAGCCACGCCCCCTTAGGGACATGACCCGGAGGTTGCGCCGTTGCCTCATTGGACAGAGCTTCGTCACGTGACTGCACCCGGCAGCAAGGGAGGTTGGGAAACGTAGTCTTTATTCTCGGCGGCTGTGTGTCTGACTAAAAATTCTAATACTGTAGAATTGTGATTCTCCACCTCTGCTAGACTCTCCACCTTCATTAAACCTAGACTCCCCGGGCTTCTCTGAAGAGCCCAGAGGCAAACCCAAGTATATTCAGGATGAGCTTTATATATGACAAGGCTGGCCCCCGTGAAACAAGGAGGGAAAAATAGATTGTTTAATAATAGTGTTGGGGAAATTGGTTCATTTTTCTGGAGAAAAGGAAAACGGGCTCCCTACCTAACATCACGACAAAAGAACCCTAGCTCTGTGCTTCCCGGGAAGGTAGCCACCAACCACATGTGGCTATTTAATTTTAAATTAACAAAATAAAATGAAACAGTTCGGTCCCTTAGTAGCACTAGTCACATTTCACAGCCTTCACTGTCACATGTAACCAGTGGCTACTAACTAGACTGTTTAGATATGAGAACTTTTCATTATCTGAGTTCCCCTGGAGAAAGTTTCTCTGATGGATTAAACATCCTCTAAAAGACAAACTATGAAGGTGACAGAGGAAAATACTTGATGACCAGCAGCAGAGAGGGACTTCTTAAAACTCCAGTGGAACAAACTGTCAAAAAAAAAATTAATTGAACTTGTGAAAATGTAAAGCTTTTGTTCAAAGAAGGACGTCATGGCCAAATGTAATAGGCTTCAGAAAGGGGAAAAAATTTTTTTCAGAGTCTAACATGTATCAGATTTTTTTTTTTTAATGAGAAAAGAGCAACCCAAATAGAAACATGGGCAAAGAATATAAACAGGCAACTTACAGAAGAAAAAAAACCCAAAAGACCAATCAGGGTGTGCACAAGGGCTCAAACTTACTGGTAATCGGAGGAAGGCACATTTCAACACGCTGTCCTTCTACCACGAGCCTGGTAAAGATTCAAGTCTGGTTTAGTCAAATGAATTATCGCATGTATGCATCTCGCAATAATTCCACTCCTGAATCCCTTCCCAAAGAAATCATGGGACCCTATGGGGGAGCACACACGGGGATGTTCACTGCAGCAGTGTTTATGGGGTGGGAGCTGGAGGTGGCCTGTGTGCCGTGTGTCCACTCTAGGGCAGCAGATGGGAGACACAGGGGCCACACGCCAAGGACTCCCGTGCAGTCCTCGGGAGCCAGGGACCAAGTGTGCCCATGGGGAGGGAGAGCCAGACCAGTGATGGGGAAAGTAAAGTCAGGATCTATACCAGGCCACGTGTGTCGATTACAAATTAGGAACATAAAACTGTAATACCTGTTTTTCAAGATTTAAAAAGGTGACTCATTTACATAATAGAATGGCTCCCTGTGGGGAAGGAGGAGAGAGAGGGAATAAAGAGGAAGAATAAATGAACATGAGAGGAGTCTCGGGAGGAATAAAAGCCTTGAAGGTCATGCTGACGGTCTGTCCTATGAACAAAGGGTGTGGATTGGGGCAAGGTTGCAGGTATTTAAAGGAAAATTATCCAGGTGATTTTTTTTTAAGACTTTATTTATTTGACAGAGATCACAAGTAGGCAGAAGCAGGCAGAGAAAGAGGAGGAAGCAGGCTCCCCGCTGAGCAGAGGCCTGATGCAGGGCTCGATGCGGGGCTCGATTCCAGGACCCTGAGATCATGACCTGAGCTGATGGCAGAGGCTTAACCCACTGAGCCACCCAGGTGCCCCAAGAAATCCCCATTTTCATGTGACAGTTCTTGAATCTTAAAGATAGGCAACCAACTCAGTGTGCCGAACTGTATCTGTGGGCCCAGCAAGATCAAGGGCAGAGCTAACATACCTCAAGATCGTAAGTGGGGGTAAGGGGGCCACCTGGGGGTCTCAGTTGGCTGAGCCTCCGACTCTTGATTTCTGCTCAGGTCAGGATCTCAGGGTTGTGAGACTGAGTCCCGAGTAGGACTCCAAACTCAGTGGGGAGTCTGCTAGAGATTCTCTCCCTCTGCCCCTCCCCGCTTCCCTTTCTCTCTCAAATAAATAAATCTTAAAAAAAAAAAATAGACAGTGTCCAGGGCTTCACTGAGCACCTAGTTTACCCCATTTAACCCTTTCGTGCTTTGAATGGTGCCCCTGCCACTCCATGTGGAACCTGTAAATTCAAACCTAGGTGGATAAAAAGGGCCCTTGCCTTGAGGCTGTGATGAAGGATTTTGCAATGTGAGATCACTCTGGGTTATCTGGCTGGGGGTGGGGCGACAATGTCCTTAGAAGAGAAAAGCAGGGGCGCCTGGGTGGCTCAGTCATTAAGCATCTGCCTTCGGCTCAGGTCATGATCCCTGTGTCCTGGGATCAAGCCCCACATTGGGCTCCCTGCTCGGAGGGAAGCCTGCTTCTCCCTCTCCCACTTCCCCTGCTTGTATTCCCTCTCTCACTGTCTCTCTCTGTCAAATAAATAAATAAAATCTTAAGGAAAAAAAGGGGGGGCGAAGAGAAAAGCAGAGGGACGTTTGCGACGCCCGGGAGAGGCGAACACGGGAGGGCTACGGGGTGGATCGAACAGCACCGGCAGCTCCAAGACGCCAAGAAGTCTCCCCTCAGAGCTTCAGAGGTGGCTGACAAGACCCTGCTGGCACCTTGATCTCAGACTTGGGCTTCCAGGACCGAGCGACATCACCTTTCTGCCCCCCTAAACCGATGGGTTTGCGGCGATTCCTTAGGGCAGCTCTAGGAGACACACACCACCCACTCAGCAGCTGTCCCCTAAGCAAGCACTTTCCTCAAACCCATTTCACAGTGGGG